GAAAGGTAATTCTTTTGGTGTAGTGACAGAGGTGAGATAGTTGATAAAAATATGCTAACATTAGGCAGCCTATGTATCCAGAACCTCTTGGTGGATCTCTGCTTTCCCATGCAATTGTCACAGAAGTACAGTTCGCTATCGGCCAGCTCTTCGACTTTGAAGAATCTCGTTAAGCTGTACGTGAGACTGCACACTTCTTCCTGTTCTTTCGTTCGTCTCTGCAGTCTGTCCGGTATATCCAGCGAAAGATCCTGAAAGGGCTCGTGCGTCTTGGAATCTGTACGGCAGTTCATGCAGTGGACCTGCGCGAGGAAACGCGATCCATAATTTGTCCGCGCTTCTCCCAAGAAGAAAATGAATAATAAAATGACTCTCCAAAAAAATGCTGATTCGGAAAGGGCACTCCCTCCCGTCATTCCGTATTGGAATAACAAAGTATAACCGGAAACGCATTAACCCTCGCCTAACTGAGTGCCGGATCATTTTGATTGCTCAATTTGCGCCACGCATAGAAAGCGGGCACATACCAACCAACGTAAGGTAAGGTAAGGTACATCAATATTACATCCAAGCCGACAGAGGTTTAGATTCTTAGACTCGCGTATAGTGCTTTGAAGATCAAAATGATACAGCATCCTTCCAGTGTCGCAAAACGTTTGATTGTCGAGATGGCCGAGAGTTAAACAGAGCTTCCTCCTTGAACAATCCAGCGACTTACCACGCTAAGAAGGGTGCCTCCGAACACAGCCGTGACGATGCTCTGCTTGCCGCGCAGACCGAGAGGCTCGTGTCCCAGTCTGGGCAACAATTGCAAGAGCTCGGTGTGCAGTCTGTCCAACATGTAGGTGAGAAATTCGTGAGCGTCTTGTTGCTGATAGCCTCGAAATCTCGGCACGACTTTCCAGATAACAAGGAAAAGACATTCGGGCGAAATTGCCTGACCGTTCGAGCCACCAAGGTTCAGACCGAGGAGAACCTTCCTCAGCTCCTCCGCCAGCAGGGCGTCGCTCATGAATTCTTTCGCTCGACCAGGCGTGACGATTCGCCCTCTGTGCGTGGGTGGCTCGTCGAACGGTATGCCCTCTAGACACGGCATCTGCGTGAGATATTCACAGAAATGGCTGATGTTGTTGAACGATTGCAACACGACGTTCATGAAACAGGTGTTGCCGAGATTTCTTAGGCCGACGACCTTCTTTTCTTTGGTTATCTTGGAACTCCTACGCTTGGTCGCCGGCCGATTGTCCCCGCTCGTACTATCCAACGAGTGTAGCCTCTTCCGCGCTGTCCTTGGCCGGAGGTTCCTTACGACCACCTCTGCCTTCCACAGGGCATCCGCGTCGTTCTCGTCGCTGTTATCTCTCCTCGAGGACGGTGTCGTAGACGGCGACGTATTCCAATTCTCCTCATTCTCCTTGTGCTCGTCCTTGTGAAACGTGACGCGACGTATTTTCTCGATTTGGCCACTCGTCGTATCGTTGATCACATACTCGTCGCACACGTAACTGGAAAAAGTACAGTTGCTTTCGTAAAGGCGCACGCCGATTAAAAGGGGGGATGTCGTTAAATAAACTTTTAAGCTTCCCTCCTGGATGGATTCTTTATGTTTTTCGACGTCGGATTCGACGCCGCGACTACGTTGGAAACATTGCAATCTATAGCGCTTAAATTATCGACTGAAAGTAGAGAAATTAAAAGTTTTTGAAATGAAAAGGGAGACTGCTATGGCCGTATCGATCGATATCTATAGTTATCTATAGTTCTTTTTGAGATATTAAAAATGATGGCGAGCAGTGAGCTGGCAAGATTAAAAACCGCAATGCCAGAATCACTGAGGACTGTGTCGAACTGTCGCGGAGAATGGCGAAAGCGAAGGGTTTAAACTTACCAGAATACTGCCAGGTTCTCACAGTCGATACACACACAGTGTTGAGTATTTTCTTCGTGATGCTGTAATGCATGGCCTGCCACGTATCGTCCACAGTGAATGGCTCCACAGTATAGACAGAGCCACGTACTTTTCTCCGTGCCACATACTATCGACAATAATAAAACGACTTGAATTATGAATTTTATGTTAAAAATGGGAACGGAATTAAGAACTAGTGGGAGGTAGAAGCATTTTAGTCTCGTCGTTGCTATTTTCAAATAAAAAGATCGTTGCTCCTGACCTACTGCAACAACTCTTGTCTCATTGTTCTTAATCACGCTGACATTTAGAATAATATTATTCTGAAGCTGCAGCTATTTTTTGCAAGATCTCGCGAATTTTTTTTTTTTTAAACATCCGGGAAGCATGAAAGCCGATCGTTACGATATATAACATAAGCACCAAGTCGATGTACTGTCTTCTTGGCTCGTCTCGGCTTACGTAATTCTCAAGAGAGTGCGTAAAACCAGGGTGAATGGGAGGAAGACTGTTCGACACACCCCCTTCGCAATCGATCGATCGCAAAATGTCTCGCTGTGCTATCAAGTTTGAGATTCTGCATGCACGTTTCTTTCTTTTTTTTTTTTTTTTTTTTTTTTTCCCTTACATCATCTCGGGCATCGCGATGCGTTTTACAGTTTTAAAAGAAGCGGAGGAAATCCTTGGGGAACATACGTTAGGTCAATTGATCTCATTCCAAGCAGAAGGCACTTTTCTGCTTAATTAAGTTCAACGAAGGAGCAAGTCGAATGAAAGAAAATTCGAAGATTCTACGCTCATGGGATCGAATCGATTTCGATCATTTTTATTTTTATTTTGGATAGCTCCGTTCGATTCTCGACTATTCTTAGCTGCTTAAATAAACTTTGCAACGGTGGAATAAATAAAAGAGGAAGATGTAAAATTGCTAGGGATAAAAAAAAAGAAAAAACAGAAAGGTACATAAAAATTGAGACATCGATAGGCCAACTGAAATTCAATCTTCTAGAATCACGTATCCCACGTATATGCACAATCTTGTGTAAGAAAGAAGTCTCGGAGCTCCACGCCCATCGCGTCATTTAATTGCCAAATTCCGACAACGTTTTTTCGCTCAGACGTGCGAATTAAAGTTTCACGAAACGAACGACTAATTTCCGGAAAAAGTGGGCGATAAATTTCTAATTTTCTTTGACTCGAAAAACAGGTTGCGCATCATCGTGTTGTATTCTTGGAAGATCACGTCAGTACAGCTAAGTTCGGAATCGAACGAAAAATCGTCGATAGACATGCACGCAGGTGACTCGGAAAAAAGAATTCTAGTTTCCGAAACACGAAAGAAAGAAGAAAAAAGAGGAAAAAAAAGAGTTGAAAGGGTAAACCCCGACAGTCATCTAACGAGCACCCATCCATCCTTTTATTCGTTCGTCTCTTTTGTCATATCGTTGCGTCTCTTTTTCGCCGGTTGGTAACGAACGATTCGATTCGCCACGCCTACTGCGTGTTGCGTCGTCGAAGAATTTCGTCGACGCATTGTCCGAGCGACGGAACTAGATAAAGAAAGGCAACGAGAACGCGGACAGAGCGGCAGCAGCTTCCGCGACCTGATGCAACGGCCGGAGGAAAAAGGAAAAAACGATGGACGACCAGGGGAAAATTCGTTTCGCGAGCAATGCGACTGGTATCGAGGCATCCGATTAGCAACGACGCCGTTATCGATTTTGCAACGTCGTACCCGAACCAGCTTGCAGCGCAGGAAAAGAGGCAGAAGAGGGGCGGAAGAGAGAGAGAGAGAGAGAGAGAGAGAGAGAGAGAG